TAGCTCCTGGGATTTGGCCGCTTTGTTTGCTGCTTCTGAGAGCCAGCTAAACCTGGAGATAGCGGGACCCAGTGGCGCTGGTGCCTATTTGAAGATGTGCTCTAGCCTGAAATCAAACTAATTGGAGCACTGGTCTCTAGAATGCGGTTGGTCATTCTGCATTATTAGTCTTGCACATTCAGATTATCTTAAATAGGGTGCCAGTAATTAGAAAAATGCTTCATTGTTTTTCTGAATCAAGGTATGCATGTTGGCTTACTAAGTTTTAGCTTGGCTATTACAGCCACGCTCAGAGCTCTTGAGAACCACATGTCTCATTCACCTTGACTGGGAAGGGGAAAGTGGCCAGATCGCCTGCATGAAGATATTTGTGTCTGAGGCAGAGTGTAGAAATAATTCATGGCACGTTGCCGCACTGCTTTAATGAACCCAGAAAGCACTTTGGGTAATGCATCATTGAGGGCACACACGGCAGAGCTTCCTTGTATACAATTGAAGCGTGAACTTATTTGCATTTCAGTTTGCTCCCTCTTTTAGATTTAATTAGATTTCAGACTTCAATCGATTTATTAAATGAATTTATCACTGCTTAAAAGGTGTAATATGCTCATGACAGTAGCTTTTCCCCAACACTCTTTCTCATTTCTTCATGCCCCCAAGATCTCAGCTTTTGGCTTGGTTGTAAAGCCAGAGGTTATTTTCCAGAGCTGCTGTGCTGTATCAATGTAGCTGCTTTTGTGCTTGGAGACACTGGGGTCAGGGGAGGGTTATGGTTTTTGTCCATTTTGTCTGACATGAATGTACCTCTTGTAGATTTGACACTAGTAAATCCAACTAATGCACAGTAAAGCACTGTCTTCTGTTTGGGTGGCCCTTTATCACTGTGAATCTTTCTACTGTTATTTTGGCGCAACGTTTACAAACCTTTATTTTTATTACAATGAGGGGAGCATTGGGCCTCTTCAAATGGTGGGAAATTAAATGTAATGAATCAAATCATATTAGTGATTTGCAAGATGAGCTGGAGAGCTTGACCATAAAATGCAGTAATTTAGTGATGTCCCACATTTGTTTAGAAGAGTAGAAAGAGGGACGCCTGGGTGGCTCAGTTGGTTGAGCGGCTGCCTTCGGCTCAGGTCATGATCGCAGCGTCCTGGGATCGAGTCCCACATCGGGCTCCTTGCTCGGCAGGGAGCCTGCTTCTCCCTCTGCCTCTGCCTGCCTCTCTGTCTGCCTGTGCTCGCTCGCTCACTCTCCCTCTGTCTCTGACAAATAAATAAATAAAATCTTTAAAAAAAGAAGAGTAGAAAGAATGTTGCTCTGAGCCACTGGAGGATCTTAATTTATTGTTACCTACCTGCATGAATTTAAGTCACTTGTTGGACCACTGGGCTGTGATGGCCCCATCTGGGCTCCTGATATCTTAAGGCAGGAGAGAAGTCTGCTTGATTTCTAAAGACTCCTTCCAGCTTTAGGCTATGTTTGCCTCTGTGTGTTTGTGGGGCAAGGGGAAGTAGTATGAACAGGAAATCCATTTGTGATTATTTTTAGCAGTGTGATCTAGATACATAATGTCTAGATACATAATGTCCATAACACAAAGTGGAAGAAGTGATATTACTGGTTGTATTTTTACTTTCTGAATTAGCTAGGACTTCAGATCAAAGTCAGCTATGCCCAGCTTCATGAAGGAAGTTATTTTTACTTTATGTACTGTGTATCTCCAGTTAGAAAGGTATAGCAGTTAGAAAGATATAACAACCAAAGTAGGATAACGCAAGTATAAATCCATTTCTTTTTTTTTTTTAAGATTTTATTTATTTATTTGACAGAGATCACAAGCAGGCAGAGGGGCAGGCAGAAAGAGAGGAGGAAGCAGGCTCCCTGCTGAGCAGAGAGACCGATGCAGGGCTCCATCCCAGGACCCTGGGATCATGACCTGAGCTGAAGGCAGAGGCTTTAACCCACTGAGCTATCCAGGCGCTCCTAAATTCATTTCTATAATGTAATGTAAACCTATTATTTTAAAAAGATTTTCTTTATTTTAGAGAGGAAGACTGGGGAGAAAGTGGCAGAAGGGGAGGGAGAGGGACAAGCAGACTCCTCACTGAGCATGGAGCCTCACATGGGACTCTGTCCCTGGACCCTGAGATCACAACTGGAGCCAAAATCAAGAGTCAGATGCCCAACCAACTGCACTACAGGTGCCCCAATGTAAATCTATTTCTGTGGTAAAGACACAAATCCATTTTTCTACAGAGCAAAGGCTGTGTTCAGAATGCTGTGAATTCACAATTTAGAAAAAAAGTATTAAGCAAAGCCCAGTGGCAAAATGGGATTGTGGCTGAATGGCAGGCTTATCTTCGAGGAGAGGGCTGATTGTTCTTTATTTTTGTAAGACTCAGCGTGAACTAGGTTGTGTAAGAAGGCTGTGAATTAAAAAACAAAACAACTTCTGATTTTCTACCTGTACATTATTCATTTAAGGGACGATAAACCCTATTATTAACCCCAGGCCTGATTTCTCTCAAAGGGAAGAATGGAAAAGTGCCGGACTGCTCTGGATTCTTTTTCCGCTGGAATATTCCCACAGTCTTTCTGTATCTTCCATGACGGTGAAGAGTACCGCTCTTCCTTAGTTAATGGGACATTCCGCATTTTTACTTTGATGTTTCCTTGTGATTAGATTTAGAGTATGCATTTCAAGTAGGAATACTACAGAAGAAACATTATGATATCACCTCTGGAAGCACACTATGCCCAAAAATTCTCATTAAGTGATGCTAATTTTCATCATCCTGAAAGGATATTATCTGATTCATCTACTGTGCCATTACCTTTTTCCCCCCTTTGCAATAAATGTTCTGTGGGAGGCACTTTAAGACCCTGCAAATACCGTGCTCATTGTCAGTTGTTTCCCCTCAATTTAGCATTATGGATGGTCCTTGTCTGATCCAGTCTTTACCGTGATGGTTGTAAATGATGATTTTCCAACTTTGGCACTGACCAGTTGGCATTCTGTTGTAAATGAGAGACTTTCCCCTGTTGAAAAAAAATCTGTTTATTATCTAAATGGTTGTACCACTTCCTAATTTTTAGAGGTTCATAATTCATAACTGTACTTAACTTTTTAGTGCTAGGATTGCTCCAGTCTCAGCCAGGGGAAGACCTCTCCACTTGATTTGGACATGCTCAAATGGTATTTGGGAGGGATACCTTATACGTGCAGACTCTGCCCTGCCAATCACTCTTCTCTCCTTTGTGGCCCTTGACATGTATATAAATAAGTCCAGGGTCATGTTGTATATGTGAAAAGTACCAGTAAGCTGAGGTTTTTGGAGTCCCTTTGCTCCTCACTGAGCCCAAACTTGAACCTCAGTATCTTGCCTCACACCAAGTGGCTACCAGAAGCACAGCAGAAGAGGATACTTGAGGATGTGGATGAGGAAGGAGAAAGAACAAAGAGGCCAGACCTCCTTCCATGCAAGAGTGGGCCCAGGACCTAATGGGACTAAGAATGGAGAATGCATCTGTGTTAGGACATTGAACACAGAGTCTCAGAGTACAACCACTCCAAGGTAGTCCTTTTCTCTGTGAGCTCAGGATCAGGCTCCAGATACTTGTTCACCAGTTTGCTTTTGGTCAGAGCTATTATCCTTATCTTTGTCCTTGTCTTTATAGATGCTTAGAACAAGGCCCTTCTCGTCGCCCCCTTGGGCACCCAGCAGACCTGAAGTGTGACCTCCTCTACCAGCAGTGCTCTGGGTTCCAGGGCCACTCAGGCCGTGCGATCTCAGATTGTGTGCTCTGTGCTCTAGAAGGCATCTGATGAGCTGTACCATTGTGCTTCAGTTTCTCTTAATCCTAAATGAGGGAGTAGAATTGGGATCTTTAAGGTCCTCTTCAGCTTTAAAATTTTCTGGTTCTGAAAACTGACATAGGGATTTTATATGCTTGAATTAATATTCTCATGTATTTGTCCTGACCCATCAACCCTACATATTCTGCTCTTGTGTCAAGCAGAATAGGCACTTTGCATGGGTCATCTTCTTTCATAATTTCTTATCCCCCCCAAATTATCCCTAGTGATAGAAGTCTAATCAGGATGTTAATTAATGCATTTGCTAGCTATAACATAGAGATGTGTAGGTGCAAAGTAATATCCCAATAAAGGAAATGAATTTCTGTAATAGCCTGTTAAAGACCAAATTTCTGAGTTCTTCCTAAGACTATATGAAGTTAATGCTTACCCATAAGGAAGCCACTCCAATCAGTTTCTCAGTTCTTCTTCACTCATTTTGAAGGATTGTTCTGGAGATGTTAAAAGTGCTATTCACATTAATAATTAGAGCTTTTATCAAGAGACTGGCTGCTTTGGTAAGTACTCTCACTATCTGCAGCCCTGGGTGTGTGTCCATTTGAATGGACAGTCAGGGTCTGCACCCAGACTTTCCTTATGGGGCAAGAACAGTGTTTCCTATACAATCACACCGACTACTGAGATTATTAACTCCAGGGGATTTGCCCCCAGTATTTGTAATTCATTTATAACAGTACTTTTCTATGGTTTGTATATTTAGAAAGTTAAGAGTTCTACAAACTCAAGAGTCAAGATCATTCAGCTTGGGAATCGCTGTCTCGGGTCAAGCCTCTTGGTTGTCTTCCTGTAGGCTTTGGCCACAGGCAGTCAGTGTTCCCTCCCCCATGTCATTAAACCCTGCACAGGCTGCTGGCCTAAAGGAGAGCTTGATTTGCTGATTATACCATAGTTTGAAAGCTTCTTCAGCAAGAAGGGAGAAGTCCGCCTCTGCACGATGTGAAAAAGAGGAATAATGAAGTCCCCAGTCTCTCTTAACCCAAAGCCATATCGTTATTTGTTGTTTTCACAGGCTGTTCTTCATACCTGTGATGTAATTTTCCAAGTTTCACTCCCCAGAAGTCCATATCTTGGTGCAGAGGAGTATGGGGTGGGAGAGGATGGAAGGGAACGGGGCTGCAGTGCCGTGCAGCTTGGTGGCTGGGGAGTAGCCGGAAGGTTAGCTCTGATGGCAAAGCAGAAGCTTTGTGGGGAGAGGGAAGGACCCGGGGCCAAGGGAGAGAACAAAGGGAGTTATGTAGCTTTGAGGATGTGGTAAGGGATGCTATGCCCAGAATTAGTTAATAGTTAAAAGTAATGAAAAGCAACCAGGAGGGCTTTTCAGCAATGGAAGAGGACAAACCGTTTCCTGCAGAGCCACATGTCATCTATTTGAGTTTCTTCCAGTTAAAGGACAAGGATCAGGAGTGTTCGAAGGGAGGTTCCTGGTGGTTGCCACAGAGCCCTGTCTTCTTCTACATTCATTTTGACAGTTAGGAAGCTTGTGTGTTTCACTGTGCTAAGACCTGAGCCATAGATAGTGAATGGATAGTGAGTGGTCAGGAATAGAGATCAGGGCTGCTGCAGAAGCCGACAGATCTACACTGTAGGTTCATAATACAGAAGGGACATATGTGTGAAGGTCATCTGGCTCTTCCTTCCTTTCTTCTGGGTGAATGCCCTTCTATCACACGCGGGCATCCCAGATTCTTCTTTCAAGTCTTGACTCAGTTGTCACCTCCAAAATGAGGCTTACCCTAACTATTGTGTTAAAAGTTGTACCCCACATGCCACCCATCCCTCTTACCCTGCTCTACTTTTTCTTTTTCCTCTATTACTTCCCCTCCCCTAACATACTGTATGGTTCTGCTTACTGATAATGTGAATTTTTAATTGTTTCTTTCTCTCCCTGTTGGAATGGATCATGTTTGTCTGTTACTCATTGGTGTATTGTGAGAGCCAAAACAATGCCTAGTACATGGTAGATGTTCAGTTATTATTTGCTCAATGAATGAATGAAATAAATAAAGTAAAAAGCAATTACAGATAGCAAATAAGACAAAATAGGGTCTTGGAGGAATTCCATTATCAAGTTTGGTATAAGAGAAAAAAGAAATTTCCATACTAAAATTGGACAATAGAAGCCAGGCTCTCCTGCATGGTTTATGACAAATTTTGTCAACTGAAAAATCCTACGTAGTGGGTTTTCCACCAGTGCTTGTTCTTTTAAGATTCCATCTCTTTGATTTAAAAAAGTCACCAGTTTGATATCATTTCCTTTTGGTACAACTGGATTTAAGTGCTGTGTAGGTTATTTAAAATGTGATGGTTTGAAAAAGGTTGTGTTATTGCTGGTGATTGGTGTTCCTCTGGCTTTGAAAGGCTGAGTGGGAAGTAGGGGATTAGCGAAGCAGAAGGCAGGGAGTGAAAGAAGAGAGGGAAGTAAACCAAGGGCCAGGGCTAACTGAACTGGGATTCTTTAGGAGGAGTGACTGAAAAGTCACTCTAAGAGGCTGTTGGTTTAACTTCATAATTGCTCTATATAATTAAACACATAAATGTTGAGGAAACACCGATTAAAGGCATCCTGAGAGAGAAGCAGGCCTAATTGGAGAATCTTATTTTGTGCTCCATGACTCACAGTATTTCCAACTGTCCCCATGTCATTATTTTGTCTTTTAGCCTCCCCCAAGTGTTTTCTCAGTTTCTATTGACCAGGGCCTCTTTCTGCAATGTTCTTTCTCTACTCCATAGCAACTGACATTCAGTGTAGTCTTGGTAACTGTCAACTCCTGTGTTTCCATTTTGTATGTGGAGCTTGTAAAGCTGAAATTATAGGTCAGGCTGCATGCATGCTGATAATCTGTAAATCCAGGAAAACTTCCTATGACCATATGAACCATAGCACACACCTCTTGGATGCTTGCCCTTCATTAAAGAGGGGCTCAACAGGAAGTTATGGATGCTCCTCCCATGTCACTTCTAAGTCTTTGTTCCCAGAGTTCTATAGTGGAGAAGACCATTAACATCACTCACTGTTACTTCGGTAGGGGGCATAGTCCTTAAGGATTTTTCCATATCCTAACACAGGGCCTCTACAAACTTCTGAGATGTAAAAGGAAGCAAAGAACATTATGAGTCCATTTTAGTAAGAACAGTAACCTACAAAAAGTCCACTATGTCACTGAAACACATCATTTTGAGATCTGGTAACGAGTACTGTGGCCCCCGAATCAGCCCAGATTTGGTATTTGAGCTTTGCTTCCTGATGTCTGATGAAGGGTCTGGACTCCAGGCATGTAGGCTACAATAGGCCTTCAAGTTATTTTGAATGGAGTGGTGGACCAAGTAATGGTGTAGGAGAGAGGAGAAAGAAAAACGTGTTAAACCAGGGTCAGATTTTGGCCTTTCACATATTTGAAAGGAAGAAAAGGCATCTCTGAGCATCTCTGAGAAATTACAGTCATCATCAGGCACTGCGCCAGATATAATGACCACAAGTTAAAATGAATGGAAGCATGTCTCTACTGATATCCGTGGGTATCTCCAGTTGGAGTTGAAACACTCTTTCATAGACTTGATTCTCCGGAGAACTCTCTAGGGGAGTGCCCCCAGATGAGGACAAAGAAACTCAAATACCAAACCTAAAAATTTTCACATTCACCCAAGAGGTGGTATTTCAGCCAAATCAAACACTTCAGAAAATTTCCCAGGTTTGACATCTCTGCATGACCTTAGGCAAAATCTTTAATGAGACTCTTACTTAGAACTAATGTTCTTACAAAGGGAATGAAACAGGGACCCTCTGATCTGATGGTGGCATTACACCAGAAATTTAAAGGAGGTCTATGGCATTTTAAATGTCATGTCTTAATTTTTGTCAAGGGTAAATTCAGAGAAAGATTATGGAGAACTCGTCTAAGAAAAATATTCCATCATAGAGAATTTTACTTTCAACCTAGAAAAATACTTAAAATATGAAATTACAAAAAAATTTTTTCACACCAGAAGACAGAAATAGTGCATTGTAAAGAGCACCGGGCAAAAAAGAAAAAAAAAAAAAAAAAAAAAGAAAGAAAAAAAAGAAAAAAAAATGCTCCATATAGAAAACATTGAAGCAGACATTATGTGTTTAAGCTTCTTCATTATGCAGCCATCTCATAAATCCTGCCCAAAGTCACCATTGTTATGAGGTTAAATATAGTGCTTGATAGAAAGTAGGAAGAAATGGAAAGGCGCAGAGATTTCTTTATGTGCTAAGCCCTCTGTGAGCTTAGTTCGTAGGACTCAAGCCTGGTTCCGGCTGATGAGAGCAGTACCACCCCCATCTCCCAGAATGGGGCTCCCCACTGTATTCTTGCCCCTTCTTCCTCTTTTCTTTTAGGCAAGAGTGGATCTTTCTGGAAGGCAAATCTCTATCCAGTCCTTCCTTTGCTTAAAAATGTGTAATGACCTATCCCCGGTGCCCTTAGGAAAAACTCTGAAGTCTTGTGATGGACTGGCCTGTTCACAGAGGCAGTACGAAGGCAGGGCTTACCACTGCAAGCTTGGAGCCATACTTCCGGTTTAGGGTGTCGCCTCAGCCACTTCCAACTGAGAGTCCTCAGTCAAATTATTTGCATCGTTGGGCTTCAGCTGTCTGAACTATGAAATGGAGAAGGTGATGATGATAGTACAATCCTGACAGGGTTGTTGTGACGATCAAATACGTTCTAGTACGAAACATTCATATTATTATTTTATTTTCTGCTTTCTGTTTGCCTCTGCCCCTCTACCCTGCCCTATGTCATACCAAAGTATTTGCAGATACTGTTCCTGCCTTCATTCTCTTAATGGGACATATCATCTCCTTTTGTCTGTTTCTTATAAATGGTTTCCTCTGCCTGGAATGTTCTCTCTTTCTCTCTCTCTATCTGTATCCACTCACCTACTACATCCTCTGGTTAACTCTTCCTCGACCTTCAAAGCTCAGACCAGAGCTGCTTTACTCTGAGCAGCCTACCCAGATGTCACTCTGTATGGTACATGCTCCCAGAGCTCCCATTCTTCCTTCTATCCTGACATTTATCACACAGTATAGTAGGTCTTTCCCTGCTTCTGTGAAAAAGGGGTTATATCTCGGTCATTTCTACATACTTGCTGTCTACATACTGTGTGCTCATGGACAGATGGGAGGATGATGATCACTGAGGTGGTGTAATCTAGTGACAGGAAACCTCCCATGTCCATTTGGTCATAATCACAATTGTGCTAAATCTACCTGAACATATAATCACTCCATCATGTTTTCTGATCCATCACTTATCCATATTAATTTTTTCAGGTTCCCAGTGCCATCCCCTCCTCATCCTGATTGGTATCCTCTAAGTTTGCTCCTCTCTGCCAGTCTCTCAAGTAGGCACTTGAAATTGAGAATAACCCTCTGGGTATGGTCTAGTGAGCACAAAGACACATTATTAATTCTTTTGTTCCTCTGCTAAAGCAGACAGATGCTACGCTTGGTTTGTTTGTTTGTTTTGTCTCACAGTTCTGTTGATTCATGAGGTCACTGTCTAGGATGACTGCAGTGTTTTTGGCCTGAGCGAGCGGTTGGAAGCATGGGGTTGCCATCAACGACAGGGGAGGCTATGGGAGGAGCGGGTGCAAGGGGATCATCAGAAGTTTACTTTCGGATGTGCTAAGTTCGAAATTTCTCTTAGGCATCCAAGTGGAGATATTTTAAAAGGCAAGGAGATACATGGATCCGGAGTACAGGAGAGAGGTCTGAATTGGAAATGCCAATTTGGGAGTTTTAAGCTTATAGATAGCATTTAAAACGAGGTAGTGAGACAACCATGAGTGTGTAGAGAAGAGGATCCAGGAAGAAGGAGCCCTGACTCTTTGACAGTGACAGTTTGGAATCAGCAAAGACATCTGAGAAGGAGCAGCCCATGAGGTCTGAGGGAAATCAGGAGGGAGTGATGTCCTGTATGACTGAACACAAGTCCAGGAGGATATTTACAGAACGGATTACAAACTTAAAATGTCCTCTGTTACACATATTTGTATTAAGATAAGTGTGCAGCAAATATTTAATATACATATATCTTTACATAGGTATATAATGAGAGATTCATATAATGAATTGCATCTGGGGAAATACCAGCAGTTTGAAGGCCCGTGTGCTGGGCCCAGTTCTGTTGTTCTTACCTCTTAGACTTCAGGCAAATTAAATAGCCTTTTTTGAGCATCATATTTTACTCCTCTGGAAAGTGGGGATTTTAATTCTTATCTCACTCTGAGTTATTGTGAGAAATCAGTTGAAATAATAGCTATAGATATGGTTTGTTAGTACACATTCTATCTATCTATATAAATGCATATTCACAAGTCTGTATATGTCTGCATATATGTGTATATGTATACACCGGACTCAAGATAATTGGTGTATTGTAAGTGTCTCTTGAATCACTTAGGTTATGACCAGTTAGTTGGTAGGTCATACTCAGTTTCGTGGGTTGCAAACAGCTTTCTGAAAAATGGAGCAGAATAGAAATATCACTATGAATTGCTCAGAGTAAAAGTAAGATAGACTTCTAGAAACTTTTTCTTTCACTTATATACCTGTAGTAGTTATTTGTTTCTGTGTAATGGTTGCCCCAAAACTTAGCAGTTGAAAACAGTAAGCCTCTATCATTTCTGGGGGTCAGGGGCTGCCTCACTGGTTGGTTTGCCTCAGGTTGAAGGCAGGCTCAGGGTTGTAGTCACTGGGACCTGTTTGCAGGTCACTCCTGTGGCTGTTGTTAGGCGTCTCAGCTCCTGGCCACAGGGATCTTTTCTTAGGGCTACTCATGATGTCACAGCTGTCCTTCACCAGAGTACATGATTGGAGAAAGAGAACTAGAGAGTATCCCCAAGACCGAAGCCATAGTCTCTTTTATGACCTAGTCTCAGCAGTGACTCGTTGTCACTTCTGCCATGATTTCACATAGACGGATCCTGGTATGAGGGGACCACACATAGGTATGAATGTCAGAGGTGGGGACCACTGAGGGCCCTCCTGGAGCCTGGCTACCACAACCTCTCTATCTCTGTGAGTGCTGGGTTGAGCTATGAAATACGTTTGTTAATGTGGGTCATGTAGAAAAAGATGTTAAAGAGATACTGCTCTCTGGGGCGGAGGTGTCCGTGAGCTGGCAGAAGCCTGTTGCAGAAGCTCTGCTGTTGATCCTCTTCTGCTCCCATGGCTGAGTTCCGCTGACTTTCAGATCGTGAGTGTTCACACCAGTGAGTTTTACAGTGAAACAATCCAACTGAAGTCTAAATGGGCTGTGTGGGACTGCTTGTCCCTAAATAAAATGATCCTGCACCAGGGTCCTTTCATAGCTCCCCTGTCTGATTGCTGTAGTTTTGTATCTTTTACTTGTCTGACAAGTACAGCTCCTGTGTGTGAGCTCCCACTTCAAACCTGTGGCCAGGTTTCTGTAGATATGGTTTTGTGATAGTAGTTATATGTTCTGCCTTTTTTTCCTACTTGCTTATTGGCACATGAATGTGGTGTGGGTAATGATCTTGTGGAAAATTCTACCTGTAGATAAATGGGGTAAACAGAAAGTTTTATGTTTTGGGAAGAGGGATTATTACATGTATAAAGGTGTGCCTTACTTAAAGGAATCTTAGAGAATAGATTAAATAGTCCGATAGGACTTTTTTTTTTTTTCAAGATTTTATTTATTTATTTGACAGAGAGAGATCACAAGTAGGCAGAGAGGCAGGCAGAGAGAGAGAGAGGTGGAAGCAGGCTCCCCACTGAACAGAGAGCCTGACGTGGGACTAGATCCCAGGACCCTGAGACCATGACCCAAGCCAAAGGCAGAGGTTTAACCCACTGAGCCACCCAGGTACCCCGCTAGGACTTTTTAAATAATTTGATATACATTGCTGTGAAAAATAAATATACTTTAGCTCTCCTAGCTGGCATGTTATTTTATTTTTTATTTTAAATTTTACTTTATTTTGTTTTTTACATGCATAAGTGACTGAAAAAGAACATACGGTCTTTGAGGTACTAATAGGCTCTAAGCCATCTTGAAGTTTCTAGTTAAACAGTTAAGAGGCCAATAGAAAGCACAACACTAAGTAGAAACATATGGCCACTGGCTCTTAACTTAAAACTGTGGGAGTTTCAGAATGGAGTAGTTTCTTGGGATGAAGTGAGTGCTACCAAATAATTGGGAGCCTTCTGCTGTGGTGTTTACTCTTTGTGCTTGGGGGTGCTCATTCTCGTCAGCCCTGGGGCCTTTGGTCTCTTCTGACCAGTTAAGAACTTGTGACTGAGGGCTTTTCCTCATCTGCTAGGGGACAACTGGAGGACTGTCACTCTCAGCAGGCTCCCAAGGATAGAAGCCCTTTTGTTCTTGAAGACATGCTCCCCTAGCATGCTTGCCTTACTGTAGTTTGTAGTTTACGTAGCAGTTGTTTCCTTAAGCGTACGCGCTTGCAAGCAGAGACTCTTCACAGCACCTGGCAGTATCTGGTCTGAGGTAGAGGCTTGATGAGTATTTGTTGGGAGAGGAGGGAATTAAATTCCTTATTCTCTTGAAAGGGTTTATCTTCAGATGAACAGGTTTGTGGTTCAGTATGCATACGATGCTACTTTTCCTTGGTGATTTCATTAAAGATAGTCTATTTTAATTTTCCTTGAAATCTGTGAACTTTAAATTGTTGGAGATAATTTACAATGTAATTCCCATTTTTTGAAGTAAGAACTCTTTTGCCTTTGAAGTCCATGTCACTTTTGGTAACATCCAAAGGGAGAGGCGCTTAATTTTAGTAACACAGATGCTGACCACTGACAGCTTGAGTGAGCAGGTTGAGGACTGCAAGCTAGAGAACTTTGAAGATCTCTTTAGGTTCCAGCCCACACATCCCTGAAGGCCAGATTCCTGGTAGACCCAGCAGCTCATCAGTCAGCTGCATGAAAGGACTTCTTCTCTGTCTGGAATGCTGTCTGAATGGAGGACTTCTGGAGAAGTTGCTCTAGGTGTGGGCTCCCAACCTGGCTCTGATATTAAAACTACGGAAAACAAAGGCAAATGTTTACATGGTGGTTTATGAAAAGCCAAGAGCTTGTGTGTGTGTAAGCTCTCTGCCCTGAGATCTCTTGATTTGAGATGATTCGATTTCCCTGCTGCCTCTGCTGTGCTGATCACACTCATGCAGCTTGTCCCGTGCAGTCCCAGGAAGAGCATTCATGTTAGGCTGCTTCCAGCATCAAGCCTCACACCACGACCCAGCCCTGCAGAGCTCTGTCCCCGTGTCTCTGTTCCTGCCTCTGCTAGATTGTGATGTGGGTTATTCTCCTACTGACAGATTGTTGCTGTATGGCTGCCTTTATTTTGTTCTTTGGATTTCCATAAAGAGAACTTGATAGAAAATTATAGAAGGAAAAATAGTCATATTCACTTTGATTAACTGGAGCCATCTAGGTGAAAGAGACGTCCAAGGAGAAACTAAGAAGATTTGCTAGTAATTCGTGAGTACAGGAGAGGCTGCAAAGATTTGGGGATGTGGTTGTTTTAAACTCTGGAATCTGATTATATTCTAGATGGTCAAGTAAGGGGTAAATACCAGAGAGGCATTCTTATCAAGGCTCTGATATATATCAGATATGAAACTAAAACAGGAGGGAAAGGATATAATTTAGTGAGAACGAGACTAATACTGAATTTCTTTTAAAATTTGTTATTAAGTATCACTTATAGATGTTAATGACCATTATTTTTGAATTCCAGCTATAGTAAAGAATCTTTTATTTCCCTATTAAAAAGAAGGAAAAACCTGTGTACCTCACCCCAGTTAAACACACTTGAGTTTCATATCTGTATTTTCAACTTGGTTGGCCTTGGATTACTGACAGTGGAAGAACCAAATGTTTGATGACTCCAAGGGGCAAAGCTAGATCATTGACATGATCATGTGATGGCAGTTTTTCAAATCACAGTGGGCAGCTTCATCAAACACGTATCTTGAAGGACCTCTCATGGTAATGTCGTATCTACAAGAGAAAAGCTGTACTTTCTAATGAGATTTTAATAACAGGATTGGCTGGAAAAATCTATGTACAGAGAAGACATTATTGGCTTTTAAGATTGTGTTAACGTTTGCTTTGTGTTAAACT